CTAGAAGGCAGGCGGCTCCACGTAGCCTCGGTGGGGGTCACTCAGAGCTGGCTACACTCTGTGACGCTCGCTTGAAGTCCTGAAGGTAGAGTGGCTGTTGACCAGGTGACATCTGGAGGGGACAGGTGGTTGTGAGAAAGAGGGTGGAAAGGCGGGTGCAGGAGCAGTGCCAGGTGGTTGGCGAGAAGAGAGTGGGTGCTGAGAAGGGGGAGTTTGCTTCGGTTAGAGAGAGGAGCCCTGTGAAGGGGTGGGGGGCTCCCGGGGTGTTGAGCAGTAGGGCAGCTGGTGTGCTTGGGTGCTGGGAGGTTGTGGGGAGAGCGTGGGGAGCACAGCGGTGCAGACGAAGGAGGCTGGGGCTCACCCAACACGCCATGTGGCTCCAATGAGAAGCTCAAGAGCAGGGGACCAGCACGAGCAGATCTGGGCAGCAGGCAGGACGAGTGGCAGAGGGGGCCGGGTGGGTGGCCGGGAGCCCAGTGAGCTCGCTGCGGGTGACCTGAGAAGCGTGGTGCACCTCTCAGTCCCCTGCAAAGGGCATTCGGCGCTAACTAAGGCAACGCAGTTCGGTGTTCTCTTTTGCTTCTGTCTGTGGGTGCCCCCACTTCGGATTGTAACTGCTTTGAGAACGCCTTCATTTTATACTTGTGGTATCGTGCACGAATGCTTATGGGTTCATTCTCGGTTTTACTGAAATGTGCACAGAAAAAAGGGCACCGCCCGAGAGCACGGCCTCACGAAGGACCAGAGTGAACACACGTGTGAATTGATTGACTCTAATTCTGTTTCTTTTTCGTTAAAGTTGTGGGTAGATTCAGCACATTCAACCCCCTTCCCATTTTGTCCTGGCCAGTTAGTCATCAATCTTCGAGAAAACTTTGGGAAATATGAATCAGGTGGCTTATCGGAATAATGTTTCTATTTCACTCGAAATTATTTTAAATCTCACTTTATTTTAAACGTCAGTTTGTTTGTTTACGGTTAGATGTGCACAGAACCATGATCAATGAAAATACTGACCACAGTCCGTGAGATAGCCAGAACGTTTTTCTTTTCTATCATTTCCTAATAAAATATTTTTAAGAGGCTGAAAGCAATCCAACTATCAGAAGAGTTAAGATAAAATGTCCTTGCCCCACAGTATTTTCAGTTTCCTCCCAGTTCCAGTTTTCCTTTTTGTTCCCCTTTGAGTTAAGAGCCAATTGCTTGGAACATTCCATGAATTTTTCTTTGGCTACATTCATTATCATGTCCTTTTGTCTAATGGATTTTTATTATTCAGGGTCCCACATCTCTCCATTATCTAAGTGAATGATCCCATTAATTAATATAACAATATTTTATTGGGCATGTATGTGCTGAATTTAAATTGGGGGATGGCATGGATAACTTGGATCTTAGGAGACCTGACTATAATATTCCTAAGTGATATTTCATTTATAATTTTCTCTTTCTGTAAAGTCTTAAGTCAAGAAATGAAAGTTCTAGCTTGTTAAGTAGAGTCAAATGAAAATAAATATATTTAAGGTTTATATGAAATAGATAAGCATAATTAGCTAAATATTCATTTTCACTTATGTTCATTCATTCCTATTGGAACTAGGAAGAATTGAAAGGGTGTGTTACTCATTGGGAATTTAGGTGAGCAATATCCAGCCACTTATATTTAACACTTGGGGTTCTCATTAAATATTTTATAAAAAGCAATACAATTCTTTCTACTAATTTTTGCAAAATACTGTGGTGGGAAATTGGGGTAGTTTGCCTTTCCTGGATGTTCTGTCCACTCAGAAGTGAAGCAGCATTCGTGCAGTTTGCCACGGTGGTTCAAGCAGGAGGTGAGCGCAAACACATGCGCGGTTATCTAGTAAGCAGGTGTTGGTCACTGCTTCTCATTCTCTAAAGCCTGGCGACATCGCCCTGATGAAAGGATCCCATTAGGCAAATTATTTCCCAATTTTTGTCCTTGAGCTTTTGTTCCAATCCGAGAAGTGCTTTATTTGTTTTTTAAATGTAATTTCAGCCCCACGAAGGGAAATTGCTTTCAGCCTGGAACACAATGATCTAGAATTAATCCAAAAGGTGAAGGAAGTGGGGGTAGCAAGTTAGAAACCCCGAGAACAGGTCCAGTTTGGTGTTGGAGCCGCTAGAACACAGACACTTGGCCTAAGTGATGTGGGCGTGGGAGAGAATGCTGTAAGGTGGGGCTGGAGAGGGTGGAGGGACTAGATTCCAGAGTCCCTGATGGGTCATGGTGATCAGTTTGTTTCATTCCAACTGTGGTCAAAAGCCAGCGGCCCATGTGTGGTATAGTCATTCATGTTGTCATTTAGAACATTTTAAAGAACATCTTTAATATGATCAAGATATATAAGTTCAAATTCTCATCTTTAGTTTTCTTGTCCAAAAATGAAAGAGATGTATGAAGCAAAAACTGACAGAATGGTAAAAAGATGTCAAATCTACAATTACAAATGTAGATTTCAACAGTCCTCTGTCAACAATAGAAGAAGTAGACAGACATTCAGTAGGGATTTGGTGGGTGGATTTGGACAACTCTACCAACCAACTTGGTTTAATTGCCTTTTTATTTTGTTTAAGGAAACTCTCCACCCTATACACTTTTCTTTTCCCAAGTGCCCATGAAACATTCACCTAGATGGACCAAATTTAGGGCCAAAACCTAGTTTCAATAAAGTTAAAAGTGTTGAAATCATACTGAATATGTTCTCTGACAACAACAGGATTCAACAGAAATCAGTATCAGAGAAATACTTGAAAACCCCCCACAAAATATCTGGAAATTAAACTAAACGTTTCTGAATGACTCATGGGTCAAAGGAGAAATGGCAAGGGAAATTCGAAATTACTTTGAAATGAATGAGAACAAGAAGATAACCATTGCTTTTATTTAAAATAAAAATATTAGTATGCAAATGTTACCTTCATAACCAGCTGGCTAATATTAATAATAAGAGAGGAGCAAAGGGAAGGCCAGACATTATCAGCGTGGTCATCTGGGCAGCTTCGCCAGGAAGCTGCAATTTCACGCTCCCCAGGGAATCACTGGCCCATTCCCTGCAAATCACTGGGGGAAGGGGTCCAACAAAGGGGAAGATGGCCACATGCACAGTGAAGTCGGGGTAACATAAGGAAGATGCTCGACTGTCAGTCTAACCTGGAAACAAAGATAAGTGACTGGTTGGGGGGGCAGAGCCACTACAAGCACGTGAAATACTGAAGACTTAATTGGTTATGCTCCTAGTTAAAAACCCCCAAGACAGAGGAATTCTCTCTCTTGCCATTTGCGCTCCTATATCTCACTTGTTCCGTGACCTGCACTCGTCTGCCATGTGGTCCTAGAAGCTGCATGGCCCAGGCCATACGGACCCCACAGGCAATGGACTGCGGCCAGGAAAACAAGCTATAACCTAGCCAGATGCTCAAATGGACTCTGCAAATGTGGGGCGGAAACTCTGGACAATGGCTCTGATCCTAGCTCTGCTGAAGACAGAATGGGACTTTTCCCATGGCGGGACGGAGGGAGATGGGATGTTGGAAACCTAGGGGTTTCATTGCACAGAAATGAAACTTTTCACGATACCTCATCCTTCCGTGAGGGCCTCAGGACATTGTTGTTCCCGCTGCATCCCAGGAAGCCTACTTCCACCGGCAACAGGTGGGGACACAGAGAGCACCTCGCCGATAATGCAGATCGGTAGAGATTCCCATCTTCAACTCTTGCTACTTGCCAGTGTCTTGAATTTCCCGCTTCCTGCACATGTCAGCCCCACCTCAGTTCCTGGATAAGATGAATGTGGCCGTATCCCTGCTGCCGGTCTGCATTCAGCCCTAGAGGGTCTGGCCTTGCCTACTTAACTAAGCAGTTCTAATACTTCTAGTTCCAATGAATGATCATTTACCATTTTGAAAGGTCATGTTCCTGGAACTATGGAGGGAATTTATGGAGCAGGAACAGGCAAGTTCAGGTTACATGATTCTTAGGATCATCAATTAAAATCTTGTCAAAGCTGCTTCCTTTGTCTCAGTTCTACCAGGGGAATTCTGGTCTCCTGTGTTCCTACATTTTAGACGTGTGTGAGTCCTTGAGTTCCCTTCTGTGACTTCTGTTTCTTCTAGCAATTCTTTAATTATTTTGACTTTTTAATTGTTTTTGACTGATACCAGCTTGTCCTACTCAATTTCATTCATTCTTGACAGTGTATTCGGCATTAAGCTAGGCACTAAGTCTGCCAGTGGGGTGGGAGATTTATAAATCATAATTAATTAGAGTATGCTAAGTACTTTGACAGAGGCATGTTGGAAGGGTTATGGAAATAAACATTCATTCGACGAATATTTGTTGACCTCCTACTGTGTACTGGGCACTGTGCCATAGAAGTAGTACTCTGGGCATACTGTGCTGATTGTTCAAATGTGAGGCATGGAGTTGTGAAGGAGGGAAGAATGATTTTGGGGGTGGGTTATCTGCTCTAGCCTGATGTTTTTAGTGGGGATTCTGAGGTAGCAAGTGGTGATAGAAAAGGCTAGAAAGGTTGTGAAAGTCCTTCTGTCCTTTAAGGGAGTTTCATCCCATTTCTGTGGACATAGTATTTATCAGGTCCATGATGACCCTTACCAGCACTTGCAATACCACACGCATCTCTTGTTTCTTTGCTTACTTTTCTGCTCGCTATAGTGACCAGTGACTCTACGTGGTGTCCAGTGACCGCTAGCCCTGCTGATCTTGCATTTTTAAGAAGTGGGAGGGGGGTTGCCCGTAGAGATGGAATCCCAAAGCAAGGAGCCAGGTATGCAGTACTCTGACTTTACCTGGAGTGTTTCCCTCTCGGGTATGATGAGCCTCTTGAAATCTTTATTTTCCCTTTTTTAAAGGCAGGGGAGCAAGAGGTTGAAGTACAAACGTGTTACTTTGAAAATGCCCTGTGGGGTAAAATTTCAATTTATTGCCCACCCTGAAATTTTTTATTCTTTCCCTTTAGGTTTCTTGCTATTTAAAGATTTTTGTTTGAATGAAATTAATGAAGCTGTACCTCAGGTGAAGTTTTATGAAGAGGTAAGAAGTAACTGTTTTACTGATGCTTTTATTTCAAAAGCATATTTAAAGCGTGTTTTGGGAAATAATTAAGACTACTAAGTATCTTACAGATAATTTAGAAATTCACTGAAAGTAATCAGTAGTGCAAGATATAATATGCAGTTTATTAGAGATGCTGACGACATCTGTATGTATCCTGTCTCTCNTTTGAATGAAATTAATGAAGCTGTACCTCAGGTGAAGTTTTATGAAGAGGTAAGAAGTAACTGTTTTACTGATGCTTTTATTTCAAAAGCATATTTAAAGCGTGTTTTGGGAAATAATTAAGACTACTAAGTATCTTACAGATAATTTAGAAATTCACTGAAAGTAATCAGTAGTGCAAGATATAATATGCAGTTTATTAGAGATGCTGACGACATCTGTACGCATCCTGTCTCTAAAGGCTCTGGAGAGCTCCAGAGGCAATGAGGAGGAGTTGGACTAAAATTCCAGGGGAGGGAGGATCATTCTGAGGTGCATTGAAGTGTGCCAGCCATTTTATTTTCTGCAGAAGCTTGCTGATTCTGGAGACATAAACCAAGGCAGAGGGCCACTACTGGGTGAAAGAGAAACTAGCACAGTTTTCCGGTCACACATCACTGGAGTGACAAATTGGAAACTTGGTGGAAGAGGGAGGAGGGGAGCTGAAGAGATGGGGTACAAGCTTCTGGAAGACATGTGGGAATCTCCCACAGCCTTACAGTACTTTATTGAAATATAGACCTACAGGAATCTGAAAACAGATCAGGCAGGAGATGAAAACCCAACTGATAGCTACTGATCACCTGGGTCAGCTGTAGATTCTGGGTGTAACAGAGTCCAGGCATATTAGAGTCCAGGTTTGGCCCTTGGCAGAAGGCTGTTTCTGGGAGACAAAAAGCCAGAAGAGGTTTCTGGGGCCAAAGTAAAAAACAAAGGGGGCTGGAGGAGCCCCAAACATGTGACTCGCCTCCCTCTCAGGATAGATGCCAAGTTTTGAAGGTGAGTGGGGTAGGAAGAAAAGAGCTATTCTGCAAACCTCTAAGGTCAGAAGTGATTCCAGTGCCAAGGAGACGAAGATTTTTCGTTGAACTCCGTGGAGCGCCGAGCCTTAGGAACAGGGACAAGCAGGAGGCAGACTGAGTCCTACACAAATGGCAACTCAGACCCAACCCAGCTCAATCTCTTATTGGGTGATGAGCCCCTCACCACCTGTGTGACAGAATACAAGGGGAGCCCTCGTTTTTTGTGTTTTTTTTTTTTAGGTAGGAAATAACCAGAGAATCTACAGTGTTCCACATACAGTAAAAAACTATTAGACACCTAAGAGTCAGGATCATGTGACTCATAAACAAGGCAGTAGAAGGAGACCAGTAGATGAATCAGATGCTGGACATAGCAGACAAGTGCTTAGAATAACTATAAAGTCCATGTTTAAGACAACGGATAGAGGAAAAGATGGACAGAACTGATAGAAGGATAGAGAATGTCAGCATAATTTGGTTTTTATTATGAAAAGCCAAGTGGACATTTAGAACATTAAATACAGTATTTGAAATTAGAATTAACGGCTAGAACCCATAGCAGGCTGGTTACAACGCAAGACAGAATTAATCAGTAGGCAAACCCGTAGCTAATCGCAAACTGAAACACAGAGAAAACAGAAATAGGTAAAGGCATTAAGGACATGTGGAACAAGGTTAAAAGGTCTAACATATGTAGAATTGGAGGCCGAGAACAAGAAGAGAGAGAACAGTGCATAAGCAATATTTGAAGAGATAATACTAAGAATTTTTTAAAAAGGCGAAAGGCAGCAGCTCACAGAGTCAAGAAACTTAGAAAACCCTACGCACAATGACTGTGAAGGAAACATATCTTTGCCCATCAATGTAAGACTCGAGAAATGTACGACCAAGATAAAAATTTTAAAAGCAACCCGAGGGTGGAAAAAGACACCTTACTTTTAAAGGAGCAATATTCTGAGTGACGTGACTGACTTTTCAAAAGAAACGATGTTTTTGAAAAATCAGACAGACAGTGAAATGCCAACTTTCAAGGGCTGAAAGAAAAAAACCTGCCATCCTAGAATTCTGTTCCCAGCAAAAATGTCCTTCAGAAATGAAGGTGAAATAAAGATATTTCCAGACAAAAACTGAGGGGATTTGTCAGTAGTAGACCTGCCTTTCAATAAATACCAAAGGGGGAGCTACCTTAAACAGAAGAAAATTATCCCAGGTGGAAAGGCAAGAAGGAATGAAGGACATCATAAAGGATAAGCATGTAAAATATAAACAGATGTTGACCATGCAAAACAATAACATAATGTGTTTAGAGTTTACTGTATGTAAAACTAAATGTATGTATAACTAAGACCGATGACTGTAGCACAAAAAAGCAGAAGAGGGGTTAATGTGTTTTCAGAGTCTAGAATCATTGGGGGAATCATAGTAATAACTTGCACTGGGGTGTCATCAGTCAAGGATGCATATTGTAATCTCTAAGGTAACTTTTAAAAGAATAAAATTTATATATTTAAGAAGTAAAAAGGGGAGAAAATGCAATAAAACAACATTCTATTAATCTAAAAACAGGAATGAAAAACAGGAATGAAAGGGAGACATAAAATATTAGGTGGTTAAATTGAAAACAAAGAGCAAGGTGGTAGCTATAAATCCATCTGTAAGTAATTATATTGACTATAAATGGGCTAAATAAATACTACAAGTAAAAGACTAAGTTTGTCAGACTCGATAAATAACCCAAAACCCTATTAAATGCTGCTTACAAGTGTCATACTTTAAACAGAAGGATAGGAGAGGACTTGCGGTACAAACACTAACCTAAACAAAGCGGGTACAGCACGCTAATGTCAGAGTGCGCTAATGCTCAAATGCTGCTTTGAGATTGAGATTATTTCATAATGATAAAGGGGCCAGCGTCGCGACCTTCAATCTGTATGTTACAAATAACATAACTTCAAAATTTATAAAGCAAAAATTGACCGTTAAAACAAAAGAAATCTGTCATCCCAGCGGGAGACACGCACATACACTTCGAGAGCTTATAGAACCAACAGACAAATTGGTAAGGATGTAGGAGATCTTAATAAAACAATAAATGAACTTGACCTGACATATATAATATAGTATGCTGCACCCAGCAAAGTTAGAATTGTCATTTTTTAAAAGTGCATACGGAATATTTATCAAAATCGTAGGCTGAGCCCTAAAGAAAGCTCCTACCAATTGCAAGATTGAAATTGTCTCGATTTTCCTCAGTATCCTCAGTATGAAGTAACTTCCTTATTTCATTCTGAGTCACAATCATGCTTTCTCTCTGGGCACCACAGCTGGATATGCCAAAAAAAGTTTCTTTCGGCCCTGTGCTGTTAAAAGCGTCGCCTTTCCGGTTTCAGCAGGTCCTGAGTCGCCTTGTCAATAGGGAGAAGTCCCCTCCAACGGAGCACCGTTGTGAGGCCGAAAGAGCTGGGCGGTCCACTTGCGGTCATTTCTCAGGCACCTGCTGCCAGCTGCCGCCGCGTTTCCGTCTGGCCTTTAGACGCCGGGCTTCCCTCCCCTTGGCGCGCTCCCGGCTCTTCTCGCCTGCTCTTGGCTTGGCACGTGGTGGACCTGGCTTATCAGAGTGCCCCCTTGGAGGGTTCTGCTCCAAAGCTCCCCAGCCACTTGGGCTTTGTCCTTTTACTGAGGGTAACCGTCCAGCCGTGGGGCTTCAGACACAGTTCCCTGGGTCAGTGCGTCTTTAAGCACGGACGTCCCCAGTAACTGTTCTCTGCCCCCTTGGCCTCACCGGTCTGGTTATTTCTGGTTGTGCTTTATGACCCCCAAGCCCTGGGAAACCCTTCTGTCAGGTATCTTGAAGTGTCTCTGTTTTGTGCACTGTGTTTCAGTTTTTAGTGCCACCCGTTTCCGCGGGTTCAAGTCCTCATAGCTCACCCTGACATTCCCATAGCCCTGGATTAGTGATCACCGGCCTGTCTCGGTTGTTCACGGCCTTCTGATTTAGAACTCGCACTGGCCAATGTTTCCAAACTCAATGTTACCTCCCTGCTCGTGTCCTTTCCCCAGCCTGGGGTGCCGCTTCCCCTCCTCAGCCTGTGGATAGCCCGGGCCCAGCTCAGTCTCAGGTCCGGGTCAGCTTCCGTGCGCTCTGCCAAGTCCGTCTGTACGGCTGCCCCCATCTTCGGGGAGCTTGCTCCCTGCTTCTCTCACCACTGACTGTAAGGCTCGTGTGCAATACTTAGTGTGCTTCAGTGTCCTGCTACTCGACAGGCTAATGGTGAGACTCAAATAGGATGCGGGGTCACAGTTGCTTTCTGAACCCTAGTGTCTGTAATATGCTGTTTAGATATAGGGGAGGCTGTAACAGAGTGGGTGAGAGTTCCAGCTCCGAACTCACTAAGTGAATACTTACTGCGTGTGTGTNTTAGATATAGGGGAGGCTGTAACAGAGTGGGTGAGAGTTCCAGCTCCGAACTCACTAAGTGAATATTTGCTGCGTGTGTGTGTGTGTGTGTGTGTAATCAGTGTGTTCATCTTGACCACTATTTGACTCATAGACAGAAGGCCTAGCCAGGATCTCGGTGCCACTGTGTCTCTCCCCAGCTGTAGGACATGGGGCCAGTCACCGAGCAAACTCTCAAGCACCTGTCTCGTTTCCAACCTGGAGCTTAAAAATGCGAACAGCGCACTGTCCCTGTCCTTGCGGGGCTCACGGAATCGGGGCGTAATATTGAGCTTCGGTTACCCCATCTGTGGAATGAGGTTAGTGATCGCTCCTGCTGCTCGGCAGGCTAACGGTGACTCTCAAGTTNGTGTGTGTGTGTGTGTGTGTGTGTGTGTGTAATCAGTGTGTTCATCTTGACCACTATTTGACTCATAGACAGAAGGCCTAGCCAGGATCTGGGTGCCACTGTGTCTCTCCCCAGCTGTAGGACATGGGGCCAGTCACCGAGCAAACTCTCAAGCACCTGTCTCGTTTCCAACCTGGAGCTTAAAAATGCGAACAGCGCACTGTCCCTGTCCTTGCGGGGCTCACGGAATCGGGGCGTAATATTGAGCTTCGGTTACCCCATCTGTGGAATGAGGTTAGTAATCGCTCCTGCTGCTCGGCAGGCTAATGGTGACGCTCAAGTCGGATGCTGGGCGGCCAGTTGCTGTCTAAGCCCTGGTTTCTGTAATGTGCTGTTCAGATATAGGGGAGGCTGGAACATCGTGGGTGGGACTTCCAGCTCTGAACTCAGACTGCCTGGGTTTGGATTTGGACCCCACTACCGAGCTGCTGGCTGCAGAAACTGGGGCGAGCAGTGTGGCTTCTCTGCCGGGGTTTCCACGGCTAAGAATTAGTGTGATAGTGTGATTAGTGTGAATTAGTGTGACTGTCCCTCGGGGTTGTCGCGTGTAAATGCAACAGACCAGAGCAGTGCCTGACACGTAGTTACTGCTCAGTGTGTTGTTTGTTCCAGTTAGACTTGGAGGCAGCTTATAAAAATATGTATATGATACCTAGGTTTAAAAATAAACCATAGAAAACAGAAAATAAACATAAGATCGGAGGTGACGTGACCATCTAGAGTTTCCTTTCACTCATTCCACCCGTATTTCTCCAGCTCCAGTGCCGGGAGGCGTTGTTTGACGAACAGGGTAGGCAAAGCCCTTGCTGTCTTTTGGCTTCTATTTTTGTGGAGACAATCAAAGGGTAATAAATAAACCGGAAATAGATCAGGAAGTAATAACTGCTATGCAATGACTCAAAACAGATTCCAAACATAGGAAACGTATCAGGAAGTAATAACTGTGACGCAGTGACTCAAAACTGATGTGCTGTGACCGGGTGGCCACTCGAGAGTGATGGGTCAAGGACTGGCTCTCGGAGGAGGTGGCCTTTAAAGCCGAGACGCGAATGGCAAGGGAGCGAGTCTTTTGACGGCAGGGACATGGTGGGGGTGGGGGGACCCTTTTAGTCTAAAGTCAGGGCTGAGACACAGCCCCGAACGAGGTGGGAAGGAACTCGGCGTGTCCGAGGAACTGAAAGATCGGTGTGGTGTGTTTGTAACGGGCGAGGGGTGGCGTAGTGTGAGATCGGTTCAGAGATGCCGTTTGGGGGCCAGAGTAACAAATCCAGATTTTATTCTAAAGCCCGTGGACCTTGAACTCAGGCCTCTGCCTGCTCCGGTTACCAGGACAGAATTAGAGGTGGCGTTGCCTATGATGTGCCACAATAGGGACATCCTGTGTAGAGCTCACTGACGGTTGACCGCACTTTATTTAATTCGTGGTCTCACTGGCAATAGTCAGCGTTGAGTTACAGCCACGGATACACGAGGCTCTCACCTTGCCTACCAAGAGTTACCTTTTCTGTTGTTCAAGCGGAAGTGTGTGGAGCCCGAGGCTCGTGATAAAGGCAGTGCTGTGGTTCACAGTATCATTTGCCCAGGGAACTAGAATTTTCGGCGTAGCCGGATTATCCCGGTTCATGAAAAGCTTCCATAGAATCAGCGTTTGTTTAGCCAGCTGCCACCCTGCTTCATAGAGCCCCTGGCACACAGACTTAGGTCTCATTACATTACATTACACTTGTTCTCAAGAATAATAATTCCCTGGAGGCTCATTAATTCCTTGAATTTGTTCAGATGTTTAGGCAGAAACGTTGGCTTCGGGTTCACGAGCAGTCTACCCGTTCAATCATCGCGTTCTGGCATTCGCCCACCCCAAACAAAACAGCAAAAGAAACCAACCAAACCAGAACCCCGAGTTTATTTTCTGACTCTGCTTCTGATTGCGGGTGTCTGGTTTCTGTTGCCTCGCACCTGCGCGAGCTGCGTCTGGCCTGATCTTTGAACTCTTTAGACTTGTCCTGCGTTAGTTTGGGGTGGCTAAGCCCAGGTCCTTTGGTTACCGCTGGACTGCATCTTCATTAAAATAGCATTTTCCTCTTGGACGGGGTGTGGACCTATCCCGGTCTGCCTGCCTTTACATCAGATTTGTATCCTCTGGTCCAAGAAGAGTCCATTCTACGCGCATCAGTTACAGGCTCGTGAGTCACAGCCTTCCCAGTGTCACGCCGGTGGTGGTGCAGGCCGGTTAGGAGGATCCCAGTCATTTCTCAGTGTGCGTCAGGTGGCACCTCGGTGGCTCACACGCCCCTCCTCTCTGCCCTTTCTTTATCAGAAATTCTTGTGGGGTTTACTGGTTTTGATTTCAGAACTGTCAAACCCAGACTATAAAGGAAAAAGGTAACTTTCATTTCCATTTATACTCTGCCATGGGAGCTGTGAGCCCCGCATTTTCGCATTCGAGAGAAAGAGCACCCAGGTACCGTGTGAGTCAGCAGAACACCCCCGGCTGCCTGTGGGAAACATTTTAGCCCCCCTCGTGAGTCGTAGACAGTAACTAAGTCATTACATTGGAAGTCTCAGCTGGTCGTCCTAGCTCCATATTTCATCTGTGGTTTCAGTCCTTTGGATTAACAGTATTTCTGTAAATAAATAAGAACGCTTCTCTGAACCAGGAGCTTCTGTCACCAGGTTAGGATGAGCGGGGCTATCTCGACATAAGGCAGCTATTTCTAAAGCACGTTTTACTATCGGGCCCCTCTTAACACCGATCAGGTTACCTTCCCTGAGTTAGCAAAACACGGTGTTTGAAGTAAGCTTTCTGTTAGTGCAGGTGAGGTTCCAGTGCTTTCATCTATGGCTAATGCCTTTCCAGAAGATTCAGTTGACAAAAATAAATAAATCTCTTTGCAGGAGCCCTGACAAGATATGTATATTTTCTCCTTGTGAGTTTTGCAATACCTCAGTTGAGCAAGAACTGCATCATAACTCTCAGGGCTGAATTACAGCCAAATTGAACTTACTTTGTGCTTTGGAAAAGAGAATTGGCAAGCACGAGTGGCCTGTGGCTGGGAGACCGTAAGATAATTGTTACCATGGCAGCATTTGTTTCCCAATATTGTGTTTCTAAATTTAAGTGACGAGCTTCATCCTAGGAAAAATTCCATTTGTAGGTCTCCCATTGCCTTTAAATCATCCCAACTTCAGAGGCAGTCGTTTCCTGGGGGAAGAGCCGTTTCCCTGACTCGCGAGATCTCGCGTGGACGTGGTTTCTTTTAATACAGTGGTATTTTTTAATAAAGCGGGTTTGTAGGAAGACGTACCTAACGGCGATGACTTTTCACAATCTAGATAAAAGAATACGAAAAGCTTGACAACGAGGAAGATCGCCTTTGTAGGAGTCGACAGATTTACGACACCTATATCATGAAGGAGCTGCTGTCCTGCTCGCACGTAAGTATTTCTTTTTCGTTATATTACGTCGCTGAGGGTATACATGAGACCGCCCTCAGTGTTTCCAGAACGAAAGTCAGGTAGGAGGAAGGCGTTTAAAAATTAAATGAGCCCGACCGGGCGTGGCCCAGCGGTTGAGCGTCGACCTAGGATCCAGGCGATCAGGGTTCGATTCCCGGTCAGGGCACATGCCCGGGTTGCGGGCTCTCATCATTGATGTTTCTAGCTCTCTCTCTCCCTTTCCTTTCCTCTCTCTGAAATCAATAAAGATATATTTTTTAAAAAATTAAAAAAAATTAAATGATACTCATCCAGGATGGAACCCATTTCTTCTGTTTTGTCATTTATTTCCTGATAACACTGATACCATATATCCGTTCCTCCATATACTCTCTTTANTATACTCTTTTTTTTTTTTAAAGATTTAAAAAAAATTGATTTTTACGGAGAGATGAAGGGGGAGAGAGAGAAAGAGAGGGAGAGAAACATCGATGCGAGAATGAACATTGATCGGCTGCCTCCTGCACGCCCTCTGCTGGGGATGGAGCCCGCAACCCGGGCATGCGCCCTGACCGGGAATCGAACCGGCAACCTTTTGGTGCGTGGGAGTGATACTCGACCAACTGAGCCACACTGGCCGGGGCTGTTCCAAATACTCTTGATATATATATATTTCCAAAAAGCAGATACTTTCACTGCAAAAATTGATTAAGTAAAAGAACGAATTCAGAGCAGTGAAAGAAAAGGCTAGTCTCAATCCTAGACTTTCTCAAAGAAATGGAGCTTTATTATTTTTAACATAGTTATGCCGTCACAATTAGACTAACGAGATATTGGTAAGTACAAGCCTTAAGTGGTTTCTTTGAGTGAATAGGGGAGATTATTATATTAATTGTGTTCATTAATTGTTAAGTGATGGTTTCTTCTTATTGGGCATTACTGAAGGAGACATAATTGGAAATTTGGGGGAAGGATAGAGTTTTTCATCCTGGTCAGTGTAATAAGCTTCATTCGTTTAGAGCCAGTTCCCCTCTGCCGTGGCTGCAGCAGGACTTCCCTTAACCTAGAGCCTCTTAACCACCCTGGCTTAGTTTTGTAATCCTGGCATTTAATTCTTAGGCATGCTTGCATGCATTTATTTTGTATAGAAATTTTAATTTCGTAGAAATTTTACATTTTTAGGACCCCGTTATCAGCTGATGGAGGGATATTTTCAGTTAATCAGGTGATGATAAGATTCTTTATACGTCTTTCAATCACGCTGATCTTGAATTCTTGCGGGATTAGCTGTCAGCCAGCTACCCCCGCGCTCACCGTGCTTCTGCGCGTGGTGTCTAACAACCCCGGGAGCTCAGAGGAACAGATTTGTTCAGATTGCCCACAAATACCCAGCAGATCTCTTTTAATGGAGCGCATGTTAATGTAATGCACTTATTTGTGTTCCTAGGTCACTGTTTAATCCTCGTGTTGAATTTATATTGTGATGTTGTATAACATAGAGGTTTGTTACGTTTTATAATCGTTGAAAGAAATACTGTTTTTGATTTTTTCAAAAGCCATTCTCAAAACAAGCTGTAGACCATGTACAGAATCATCTGTCCAAGAAACAAGTGACGTCAACTCTCTTCCAGGTAAGAGAAAAGCACTTCCGAGTAAATGTGTCTCATTTGCTTAACGCTCAGACTTGGTGATTCTTCCTTCCTTTCCGTGTGTGTGGGTGCTAGAGGACCTGGTTATAAGGCTGTTTTTATCTGGAGGCTTATCTGGAAGAGTTGAAGTTTCACATTGCTTGTCTCCTTATTGAAATGTACTCTCATGCCAACATCCTTCGTGAAGGCTTTCCTGAAAGAGATCGCCGGAGCTTTCTAGTAACATTATTTTCAATGAATCAGCGAGGCTATGGGAAGAAAAAGCCTTTTCCCACTTGCCACACAGGCACCCGTGTCGAGCAGGGACTGGACAAGATTTGTTTAGTGGTGGCCGGGGTGCTGATCCTCGCCGTGATCGTCTCCCAGATGGCGTAGGTTCATTTTTAAGAATCAAGAGTGAATGTTTGCACCACCTGGGCTCCTCATGTCTGGAACCCGGCAAACACAGTGCTGTAGATTTTAATGACGAGGCAGGGAAAACTCAGTCCGCGACTACTGGGCCTACGTATTTTCTGCTCCTTAGATGTAGCGGGTCCCCCTCTTTCCATCTGGTGTGTTTTCTACAGAGGGGGCTGCTTTTAAGGACACGGCCAGATTTTCAAGTGGATGATGTACTTTTTTAGATTCCTCTGAATTATAAGAAATAAGGAGGGACTCCATTAAGCCATGCAATGATTTTCATAAATGAAAAGTATGCATGTACCCTTCTGGGGGCTGTTCGGCCACATCCACAGAGGGAGAAGCTGAGCTTTGCGCTGGAGCCTTACGATAGGGTTGGTTTATGCAAAACGAATGTGATTGTTCTACAGAGAACGTTCTGCCTTGGCTCCTGGGACATTTGGGTACAGGAACAAACTGAGCGTTAACCTTTCTGCCAAAATCATCAGACGCCCTGTTCTTAAGCCGTCGGATCTCCCTGGGCAGCCTGGTTGACGTAAGCCTGGGCCCTGAAATCATCCACCTGGGCTGAGAGCGCGGCAGGCTGCACCTGTCCTGACTTCCGCTTTCGCAGCCGTGCAGTGGGGTGACAGTGTGAAGTGGGGGTGACGGTGGGCTCTCTCTTGGGCGTCTTGAGGATCCAGTGAGAAAGGTGCCCCTGAGTTGCTTTGCGCCGGGCCTGCCCCGTAAGTGTTAGCTGTTATTAGATTCTTTACATTCACAAAGTGCAACGTCAGGGTCTGCTTTTCGTTGTCTCTGTGATATTTTAGTGTCAGAATTTCAATTTCCAATTGACGTTGACATGGTTCACAGACGGGCTCATAGTCAATTACGTTTAACGTCGCCAAATTATACCTCGCAACACGTGGATTTTATAGCTCTGGTTTTAGCTTTTCTCGTAGGACAATTAACATTTAAAGGCAGTGCCAGGTGAGATGCGGGGACCACCAAAATTCTCTTCATGCCTTCAAGGAACGTCCATTTAGAAGCTCCTTCTTCGGAATATCTTTTAAAAACACTACTGATTTGTTCATTAAAAAAAGATAAATGAAAACAATGTTCTGTTAGAATAGGTATAGAATGGGTTCTTATTCGAAAGGTGAAGGAAACCGTCATTATTAAGTCGATTGAAATAGGAGGACACACTAATTCAGCGTAACATGTGTCCCATCAGAACACATTAAAGTACAAATAGAAGTCAGACATATGGAGGTCCTCGTAACAGAGGACCGTTTAACCATAAAGTGGGTTGACATTCTTTGAGTTGAAATTTGCCTTCCCTGCAACTTTATTGAGGTGTAATTGACAAATAAAAATTGTGAATAGTTTAAGTTGTACACTGTGATGTTTCGATGTACGTATAATTGCGAAATGATTACCACAGTCAGACTAATTCCCATACCCATCCCTTCACATAGTTACGTTTGTGTGTGTGGTGAAAACACTTGCGATCAACTCTCTGCCTCACACAGTCCCCACGCTGTACATTAGATTCTTCGTAACTAAGACTTTAGACCCTGACCAGCGTCTCCTCGTGTCTCCCCCCACCAGCCAGCCTCCCCTCTGCTTGTATGAATTCGACGGTGTTTGTCTTTCTGTGTCTGGCTTGTTTCACACAGCACAGTGCCCTCCAGCTTCATCTGTGTTGTCACAAATGGCAGGCTTTCCTTCTCTTTAAAGATTGGATAATAAATCCATTGTGTGTATCCCACCCCATCTGTCCTTCTTGCATTCACCCGTCCACGGACACTTGTGTTGGGCCTGTGTCTTGACTGCTGTGAATGGTGCTGTGGACATTGGAGTGCAGATAACGTCTTCAGGAGGCTGATGTCGCTGCCTTCGGATAAATACATACCCAGACGCGGGACTGCGGGGTGATAATGGCAGTTCTATGTTTAATTTTTTTGAGGAACCCCTCCACTGTTTTTCATAGTGGCTGTACCAGCCTGCATTCCCCCAGACGGTGCACAGGGTTCCCTTCTCGCCACATCCTCAGCAGCACTTAACGTCTTGTCTTTCTGAGAACTGCCACCCGACAGGTACGCGGTGAGATCTCACTGTGGCTTTGGCGTGCATCCCCTTGATGATTAATGTGGGACACCTTTTCATATGCCTGTTGGTCACCTGCATGCCTTCTTTTGAAACGTGTCTATTTAGGTCCATAGCTCGTTTTATAACGAGGTTTGGTTTTGTTTTGTTTTGTTTCGCTGTTGAGTTGAGTTCCTTATGTATTTTGGATATTAACCCTTTATCAGATATAAGGTTTGGAAATATTTTCTCCCATTCCCTAGGTTGCCTTTTCAGTTTGTTCACTGATTCTTTTGCTGTGCAGAAGCTTTGTAGTTTGAGGCAGTCCAGTCCCACTTTGTCTCCTTTTGCTTTTGTTGCCTGGGCTTTTAGTGTCCTGTTTGAAAAAAATTGTTCTCAAACCAATGTCAACAAGTGTTCCCCCCTATACTTTCTTCTAGTAGTTGTACGGTTTCAGGTCTTAAGTCTTTCAGTCACCTTTGAGTTGACTTTTGTATATGGTGTGAGGCAGGGGTCCAGTTTCATTCTGCTTGTGGATGCCCAGTTTCAGCAACACTGCTTACTGAAGTGACACATTTATCTGGTAATAAGTAAACTTAATGTCCTCTTGTGGCCTCAGCCTTTTGCCTCTGGAGGACTTCGCTGAGATCAATATTATATGTGATTGTAGAACTGTAAGATTTCAGAGCTGGGAAGAGCTTCAAAGAGATAGTTCAGGTTGCCTGTTTGCCAGGAGAGAACAAAGCCCATTTGGTTTTAGTTGCCAGTCCCAGTACCCTGCCCAGGACAATCGTAGCCCTTCGAGGGGACAGAGCCTGGCTTAGCCCCGAGCCTCTTTTCTGCTGCAGGAAGTGAGACTCCCAGAAGAACTGTGGTCGTCTCACTGCCTGTGTTTGGTTCCTGTGGCTTCTGCGAACTTCCTGGTCTTATCACTTGTCTTGGGTGGTTTCTGATCCGGCCCTTTTATTTCTTTTTTTTTTTTTTTGCAAATTTTCAGAACAATCTGTGAAGACACAGAAAACGCTAAATTTGCCTCATTCGGCATGTGTAGGGTTTCAAGATATTTGCCAGAACTATCTAGTTGACTGTGCTGAGCTGGGAGATGTTGGCATTTGACTTAAAGTTCATCACATGGAAAAGAAAGGCTGTTTATTTGGTATCATGTAAAGCGGCATGAGATTGAATGAGATAGTTTTCCATTGGTACCGAGCCAGGAGCCCTCCCCGTAATCCCCGCTTAGCCATGAACTTGCTCACAGGCCTTAGGAATGCGTCTGCCCACAG